TGTGTATGAACTTGTTCATCGATATTTCTAGTATCTGTATGGAATTGCCTAGTCTCTATCTCGCATTCCTTCAATCAACTTCGGTATATCAATCAGCCTATTATCATTATTATTAAGCCAAAAAACGTAGGATCCTAATTTAATGTTTGGTGTTGACATTGTTTTATTAAACCCTTTAATTTTGTATGGTACTAATAATATTTAAAGAGTATGTGATACGATGAAATAATAAGGTGAGATCACGTTTTCTTCTGATCTCCATGTCATTGTCGCTGAATACTGCTTCATTTTCTTAATGCTGTATGATTAATCCTCGTCTTAATATTCCTCTTTTTAGTGCAATAATTTGCTCAGCATAAGATTGGTTTTCACTCTCAGTTAGCTAGTTGGGCTTGCGTATAAGATATATATATATATATATATATATATATATATATATATATATATATATATCTTATACGCAAGCCCAACTAGCTAACTGAGAGTGAAAACCAATCTTATGCTGAGCAAATATAAGTATCAGACTCTGATGAACACATAACACAACATTGTCATTCTAATTTCACTTATTATTTGGGATTACCATAGAGAAATTAGGCATATGAAACTGATCATTCCACATTTACTAACATAGACTCTGATTTCACATTACTATAGATGTTTCACAATATCTTTCTCTTATTCTAACAGTCGAATAAATTTACTACTAACCGTAATATAATTTAACTGAATTTTTACGATCAAGGGATATTTGATTTTAGAAGATATGGGAGAATATAAATTGTTTAGTATTCGGATTCCTGCTTCATTAGATAGTATCTTTTTAATTTCAGATAAAAAGAAGTACAAAGTTAAAGTCTTTACAATCCTAATCTGATTTGTAAGTTAATCACCGTAACCTGCTATACCGTTGGTTTATTCTTTCTCTACATCTAATGACTTTTTGTAAAACATATTTACTACAACTATGAAAAAAGAAGTTCCCAAATACTTTAGTTACTATTAAACCAAGTTTTATGTCTACAGATCACAGTGAGAGGATGAAAATGTTTTATTTAATTGAAAGCGATTAGTATAATGATGTCTTTCTATTTAAATATTGTAAAATCATTTAGGTTTAAAACAAAACAGCACAAAAAGACATACATCTGCTTAGTTTCACTATTTACCATCAGAACATAAACTATTCTTTGATTCTATGTACATTTAAAATATTTCACTAAGCACAAGTTTCTTAATACTGCATTGTATGCAGTTTTGGTTAACATACGGTTGATAAAACTGAAGAGTTTACGTCGCCTTTAATTCTTAACAGATGAATCGATCTACAGAATAAATACATTGATCATTAAACAAGTTAAGGTCAAAAGTATGAATGAAACTAATATTCACAATATTAACTAGAGGATAAGTGGTATGTAAATTGTTGATATCGAAAAAGCTAGAAAATAGAAGGTATTTGTTTGGCAAAATGCTGATTTCGTGAACGTGGATCCGTTTTAATATCTCATTAACTAATATCTTGCTACTCCGTTATGGATACTAAGTCTAGATAAACTGCAACAAACACACTGAGGCTTGTCAAGTGAACACTACTTCGTAGATGTAAAATGTAATGCTGCTGAAGTTTCTCTAAACTAATTATTGTTAACAGTTTTATATTATCAGTGATACAAAAGAAATGTACGCTTATTTGTAAGACAAAAACTTTACCACTATTCAAAACCAATACAATCAAAGGACGTTGATTAACATATACTACTACCCTGTTTTATTCTATTAATTTTGAACTTCAAACAAAATTATTTGAAGAGCCATGAGTGAGCTTTTAGTTCAAAAGAAAGCTATCTAAAATAAAACTTGTAACTAAACAGTTATAGTTTTAAATATTCCAGTTACAGAAGGGCTCAACTGTCAGTGCAAAACTCGAAGTAAGTGAATTTAAATAATGTGTTTATTGCAAATGCAACAGATCAGTGTAATTAGAATTGACATTGCAGCTGTTCAACACAGCTTACTTACGTGGGACGTTTTTATAGCTTACTAATATTCTAAAATATTTTGTCGAATTGTCAATCAAAAGTTTTAATGGAATTGTAATTTGTTTGGCAGTCTTAAGAAACATATTCGCGCTTGGACAGAAACAGATGAATAACTGTTCTACACGTAGACCTGCAGTTGAGATGTATATAATTCAATTATCATATCATCAATAGATGAAGACTAATGTTTTGTTCATTTTGAATCCACTTAATGATCTAAGCTTTCTTTAAGATCCGCTTAAAACAAAAGATTATTTGTGGAAAAGCTTCAGTTTAGCTCACCAAACTAAAACAGCAAGTGAACAATATTCAACAAAATATCTATTAGTGTCATTTGTACACTAATGCTGATTTATCTAAAACCACCCGGTTACACGGTTATACAATCATTACATAAGATGAATTTCCAAATTAATTCCTAAATTTTTTCGTAGTAGTAATAACTTTTAGTTTTCATCAACGTCAGGAATGAAAAAGATAACTTCTTGAACTGAAATATGAAATGAGAACTATTGGGTTAACATTCAGTGATGTCTTATTGACTACGTAACTAAAACGGTTTGGTATAGGTGTCTAGTGAAGGCGTTGATACGTATTCTTTAAGAGTCCTAAACTAGGTAGAAACAGATTCATGGTACTTTATCAAATATTCTCATGTTGACGAAATATTTGTCCAAACTTCTATAGTGAACAATAAGTCTTACTAAAGACATCAGTTAAATGAATGTCACATGTCTGCGTTCATGTCAGCTAATGATTACCAGCTAATATTGGGCAAAGTGTGGGCGAAAATTTTGAAGAATCAATTGAATACTGAAATTCCGTGCTTTTATAAGAATTCAACTGTATTAAAGTCTCTAATAGTCTAATATATAATGTAAAACATCTGATTTATGTAATTGTTTCTAATTTTCTTTTATCTTGCCCTAATAAGAATTCACAGGTTTCCTGAAAGTCCAGCTCAAAATTTTCATTCATTACCTTTGGAAAGAGAACTCAGAGCAAGCATTATTAGGATCGAAACTCAAACACCAAACTCGCAACTCATAAAACATGAGTAATTAATGTGCCTCAACAGCTTTTACAAATAATAATAATGATAGAATATATATCGATTTATGGTCAATTATTCATTAGAAGTTGCCGTAAAAGTACATTTCGAATTCGAAAAAAAACCACCATAAAAACAACTATTGGTGTGAATGAAAATTGTTGTTCAGATCTGCAGGTTTTCATTAGTACTAAATCATATTCAAGTTAATAGAAAACAAATGATTGGGTGGTCTCGTTTTGACAGCATTATTTCTCTTCATTATCTGATAATGTTAAAAGTTTCAAAATGATATAACCTCTATTTATGGATTGTTAGCTTTTATATCAACTGTTTTTACTTTGCTCAAATAGTCCATTACAGACAGGATGCGTATAAAGGGTAGAGAGAAAGATAGACGTATATACACTTGTGAATGAAAAATGGAGACTTTTTGTCACGAAAACGCAAACATGAGAAAATCGCCTTTACGATTTATTTTAGGTTCACAAAAAGACTTCAGTTATTCAGAAGAATACGAGTTCACTACAAAAATCTTAAACAAAATTTTACAAGTTTTTAAGAATTCAAGGATAGTTAACTGCTAATAGTCACTCTTCACAGGTTGATAGTACATCGTTTAATCTAACTGTATACAAACAGTTATCAAGGTCCTTAGACTGGTGATAAAATAAGCATGAATTTTATACCTACCTTCAATTTTATAAAAAGCTACGTGGTATTAAAATGAACAATGTGAACACACTACGTCAAACTAATGACTTATCCACAAATTACAAGATTTTATTGAAATTTCATTTGACGTGAAATCAAACTTCATTTCCTGTCTAAGAATATTCTCTATATACTATGAGATTTTGTTTATTTTAAGCAACAAAACGCAACTTCATAAGGCATGAGTTAATACTTGTGGTTGCTTAAAAGTTAACATAAGCTAAATACCGATGATACACAACTGTTTAGGAATAAAGACATTTTAAGGTAAAAGTTTTAAATCACTTATTTTAATGAAGTTAATGTTACTTTTCTTACACTATCACGATAGAAATATTGTCATATATAGTAAGATAATTTAAGAAACCAAGGAGAATAAGAACTTGATAAGCACAAGATGAATATAAAGTCTGGAAGTATAGAAAGAATGGACGTTTAACATTTTAACAGCATTGTTTTCTTAGCATACTAAATATCATTTGATTATGTCTTTGTATGAACGTGACTATAGAGCTGATAAAGTATAAGTGATCATATTGTATTCCAGTGATCAAAAACAAGTAATTAAATGGCTGATTAATACCCGTTTACTCCACCTTCATCTGATAAACTGAAAATCATAAACAAATGAAGACTTATTCCAACAATCACAAACTTCGCAATAGAAAACTCAATACTGTTTCTCAGCATAAAAATAAACGTCGTAAATTTCCATGTATACCAAAATGTAAACCATAGAGCACATGAATTTCTGTCACACAATGTTGCTTTTCATCAGACTTAGTGCCAAGCAGGGAAGTTTTTGGTTAATGATTTTAGCAATCATATATAACATTTAAATGATGTCTCAGAAAAGTTCTCAAGCTTTGGGGTAGGGCTAATTTCCTTAATTTGATTAGGTGTCCCAACAACGCCACGAAAGCCGTAAATTCAGACATCCCAGCCGTAGTTGTATTGTTGCTGATTATCCTGGTAACTATCTTCAAAAGAGTGATTGATTAATAAATTTCTACTTCTTACTACCAGAATGTAAATATTAAATGCTTCAATTTGGTCTTTAATCTCAAAAGTACATTGAGTCGTTTATTTTAAATCGAGGCTCAGGAAAGCCTTTAAATTTTATGAAACAAATAAAATTGATATTCATCATAATGTAAATATTCGATATTATCAGCTATTTTCACACTACTTACCGAAGTGGTATATAATAAACACTTTTAAAAATCCAGAATATTTACTTGCCATTGGGAGAAAGAATTTAGAGATGTCTAAAAAAATCACGACTCCACAATCGATTTGTCTGTCGTATCAGAATGTGAATGCATTTTAAATAAACTAAATTGCTTTTGTATAAAAACTTTTACAATTTAATTTCATTTTTCCATCATTGTCTTTTTACTAACTGAATAGACGAAATTTAATCCATTCGGTTGGATTTTAAAAATAAAATAATATTCCGCACATTTTGATAGAATAGCCTTTGTTAGTCAAAGCTTTTCAGCTTATCGTGATTAATAGAATAAAGTAAGGTAAATTTTTACAGTAACAAATGGTCCGGTTGAATCAGATGAACCAATCATTCAGTTGATTTGTTTTCCGTATATTGATTTGAAATATAGGCCGTTTTGATTGGATAAATTATTGGCTATCGTAGTATGCATTGGGAGATGGAATGATTGACATTTACTAGTCATTTCCATTTTAGCAAATGTGTACAAAAGGAAATTTACCAAGTTCTAGAAAGGATTAATTTGGAAATGAGTCGCATCGTTATGGACCTACTTTCATCTCCATACTTTTATCTTTAGTACAAACTGAAATCTGAAGCTCATTTCGTGGCAGTGATGTGGATTGAGTTAGTCTTAAATTTATGGGGAGTGTTAGCTCAGTTCGCCCGGTTAAATTTTATCCACCATTAAAATTGAGCTTGGATATAAGATATGATGAGACTAGCAACGTTCACAGGAACAAAGTTTAATTGAGACGCTTTTCTCCAGAATCATATATTTTATACTGAGTGTCTTATTTCCAGTTAATGAAGTGTCCCAAAAATAATGCTTCGCTTAGGTTTCAGTTATTCTTATTGTTCGGAAGATATAACCTGGCTACATAATAGACACTATTGGAAACTACTTTATCTTCAACCATTCTAGATTCTTGTTTTGAAAACCCCGAAATTTCTGTGTTCTAGAATCATCATTCACAATAATTTTCATTTCATCCACATAATTCGCCTGATCAACTAATATAGTAAAAGTGTTTCACTATAAGCATTCAATTGTAACTTGCTTACATTTCTTCAAGAAATCAAACGCCTTCTCAGTCAGTCAGTTATAACTTAGAACTTCGTACGTACGTACGTCAAAGTTTAGATTGCCATACTGCATTAGCACAGATACGCAACAGTCAATTCAAATCCCATAGTGGTAGAGATAGTAGAAGTATTAGCAATAATGGAGAAGATTAGGGAGAAGTGATGAGGAATTGAGAAAATCAGAATTTCAGAGAACATGAAGAGTGCATGCACATGCGCCATTGCAAACGATTTTGAGCCATGTCTTTCAAGGTCTTTCACCACTGGTGACTTTCGTCTCGCGGACTCTAACCAGGTAGTTCACAGCTACCAAAATGACTTAGTCAACTTGGATGGATTTGTACCACGTCTTGGTTTAGCGGCTTTTTTTTAACCTGCTCCTACACCAAAACATTGCTCGTCAAATCAGTAGATGGTTGAGCATATGTAACACATATCCCAACCACCTCAACTGATGAAGTCTTAATATGTCATCTATTGATTTGCATAACGCCTTCGACAACATTTTAACACAATACTTGCTTGTGCAATCACATTGAAAGCAATCACATCATTACATTTTATTCCGACTGTTTTCGATATTAATAACCTTATTATAACTAACTGAACTTACTCATTTCATTCCTACTTACTGCCAGCGTGTATTTATTACACAACCACTTGCTTCTAGCTCTTTAGATTTTGATATTATCATAGTTGCAGAATGTTCTTCTGTGTGAGGTATATACTTCCAACCTTGTACTCAGTCTACTGAAATTATTTACACCTTTGCTCTAATCCATGGTGATTCATGATCCTAGCAACTTTCAACTAAACTGTTTCATCTCACTAAATGATTACCGGCTGGAAGCAGCTGATGTGAACTAAGTGACGTAAAATGACTTCACCTTATTCTGTTCAAATCTGTGTTCTTTCTCTCGTCACGATGATAAAGGGAACTATGTGTTTGAAAAAAAACACTGATCGATTCATGATCCCAGTGAAACAATGCAAGTAGTGTATGGACGAGCTGTTCATGGTTTGTTCAGATTCATTAGAAAGGATAAACAATTATTTTAAATCATCAAAATGATTGGAATCAAACAATCAATCATTTGCATTCATAAATTAGTAACCTGTTATTCAACATGAATACCATTCAACTTCAGTCATTAGCAGTTAATATTTTATAATGTTTCGTAAATGACTCCATAATTCACACCAGTTTTCAGGTATGATCAAGTACACACAAAAATGGCGACAACCTAGGTGTTTGGTATTTGAACGGAAATCACTTATAGGTTACTTTTTCCCAAAAATGTGTGACGTCGTTGTGAATACTTATCACTATCATTAGCAGGAATTTAGTTATTGATCTGATCAAATATTTAACTAGCGATAAATGTTATTGTTCAACTTTCAGGCCTTGTTGGTTATGATTATTGTTAGGCGCCGTTCTGTTGAAATTCAGCCAATCAGAATGTATGCATGATTATTTATTTACAACTTCATAATTCAGTTGACTTCATCCAACAGTCAACACGAAACACACATCTCCTGTTTATCTAGTTGGTGTCGTTTTTCTAGTTTAGATAAATCCATTGGATAAATAGTTCATTCACATATCACTAATAGAAAAGAGAAAGGGGTACGAAAATGAAAAACTATTTAGCATCTTAGTGAGACATAATTATTATAATTTTGCATGATATCATCATATTTATTTGTATTTGGCTTCAAAACCAAAAATTCAAGATTAAGTTTATCGATGTGATAATAATAGTAATAATGAAAATTACAACAAAACTTGTTGATAATTGTGATTTACTGTTTACTTATATGTTTGTATTTTTTTTGCTCCTTTTATGTTATGTGACTAATCATAGATTAGCGTACAGTTGTGTTAGAAAAAATTTGACTGTGAAATTTGACTGTAATTTTAACTAGGCAAGACGGGATTTATGAAACATAACAACTATATAAACAGCAGGGTGAACAGAGTATCTGCAACTCTCGTTAAGCTGTAATAAGGGTGATCATTTTATATAGATTTATCCTCAATTGGCAAGGGTAGTTTTAAATTAGTTTTCAGCAAAACCAGACACCAGCCACGTGTTAAGATTACAACCTGAACAGTACAGCTCAATCCTGTTGCCTACCCACACAGATACCTAAAGCCCTGGTGGACCATTCTAGCCATTTATATATACAAATACATACAGCGGTTATTTCCGATCCACGGTCACGTCAATCACTATGCACTAAAAATGTGTCGATAGTTACACAAGGGAAAATAGTATGCATGTATAAGACCAGTGAAGTTCTGGAACCACTTCCCGAAAGCCTAGTCAAGGTTTATTTTAATAACATTAGTTGCAAATAAGATTAGCTCTACCTTTGCTTAAAAGATAACAGAAATCGTTAAAATGCTTCACTTTCTTAATACTGAGACGTAATTACAAAAACATGTACAAGTCAAGTTATGATATAAACTAGTTGTGTTACTCATTAGTTTATATATATATATATTACAGAGTTACTCACTAAAATAGGAAAACCATATCGTAAACGGTTAATTTGCAAATCTTCAATCCATCATCAATCCATTGTCTGACATTTCACTATTCATGCGTTTCATACAAATTCCATTGTGTTCCCACTTCATTTCTTGATCTTCCCCCATCGTCTGCTTCCAGACATTACGTTTTCACTCGCGTCATATACTACTTATAAGTAGCGCGCACCATATATATACTTTAAAAGATCATAATACCCAAAGGTAATTATAAATCACTATTATTAACCAATCGTACTGACAGTCGACAAACTCATTTTTTAAAATTGCAATTTGATTTGTTTTAAAATGATTTCGAAAGCCAGTTGTGAGTTCAGCCGACGAAGTTAAAGATTAATCTCTAATTATATTTAAAACAGGAAGTCTTTCAAAAAAATCAGTTTGATAACTAATGAACACTAAGCAGGCTAACAAAAAAATGAAATTATGTGAATAATCAATATCTCTATTTCAAATACGTCTCAAAAAGTTTAACGAATGAATAAAGACCATCTGAAACAAATTTCAATTTAAAGATAATTTGGAAAATATTAAAAATATAAATGACAAAGGCCTGAAACCGTTAGTTCGATATTTAATAATAGATTTAGTGCCTATTCTGTAAAGTGTTCGGAACATATAATATTATGCTACTAACCATTTTAGAAAGTTTCCAGCAGTAAACGTAAATATATCTCAGTTAATGACTGTACAATGTCTAGATGGAGCACGTCCAATGTGTTCGAAATTCACTAAGGAATTCGACTTAAGTGAGTATTCATTGCCTTGGATAGTAGTATGTGTCTATGTATTTACTTTTATATTTAATGCTTTTATAGGTTGAGTCATGCTTTCATCTAATTCAATAAGTTCGTTTACCATTTCGGATTCTCAACTCCGATCGTTTATCTAAATCAATGAATATGTGAAAGGCATGAATCTCAAGGCACTCGTACTCGGACTTTAATATACCGTTGTTTTGAACGTGTTAAGTTTACGGAAAATATGCAAAGTCAAGTTGGTTATGTATTTGACTGTCAACAATATCGTCCGAGTAAACTGAAGTTGAAATGTCGCATAAATATAAAAGTAGTTTAAGGTGATTACTAAGATTTGTTGAAACCTTAACCATAAGAAAATTCAGTTTGTGTACAAACTAAACGTACTCCGGTGACATTAATTTATTATCCAAAATGGTGTGACTCATATTGTGATCCCATCTCCGCGTGGAGCCCCCGTGGGGTTATTGCCGGTCCCAAGACCGGATAAAGGAGGAGGGTTGGGTTTCAGGTTAGCGACCACATCCCACAAAAAAACTAACTCGCAAAAAAACACTAACCAGAAAACATCATTCAAACCATTTTAACTCTGCCCTGGCAGTTACAAGGTCTTCATTTA